CCCTCCCCTCTCGACATGTATGGTTGTGCGACTGTTGTCTACTTTTATTGTTTGTATTTTGTCTTTTATGTTCCCCCTTTTTCCCCCCCTTAAATTGTTCGCCGCCTTGAGTCCTCCCGGAGAAGGGCGGCATACAAATAATAAAATACAAAATACAAATACATACATACATACACCATCACTTTCTTCAGCAAGGAAATACACACAGACACACACACAGACACACACACATGCACAAGCACACACCCGGTAGCAATTCAACCATCCTGTGGTTGTTTGGCTCACCTGCAAAACTGCCTGGAGTGGTTCATGTTGGGGCCTGCTTTAATATTGCCTTTTTCTGGGTCGTAGATGGTGGTTGCTCGTGCGTAAGCTCCTCCGAGGATGAAGATGAAACCATTGAGAGTGACCGCAGGAGCGTATTTGTTATCTGTCAGTGGGGAAAAAAAGCAACGTAGAGCTTGGTTACCAGGGTTGGTACTAGAACCAAGCTTCTCATTTATGCACCCCCCCTCATTTATAGATCAGTCACGTTTCTTGAAATCTCCAAGGCCAGCAAAAGAAAAATGAGGAAATACTTTTGCTGCTGCTCTTATTGCCGATTGTCTTCTTCACCCCTAAACCTCTGAAAGGCACTTTTAAAAGTTCGTGGGTCTCCCCCCACTCTTAGTACACAGTGGCTGCAATCCAACAGCACTGTCACTTCCCATATCGGCACGCATCCTTGCGCCTGCAAAAAAAAACAACGGATGGCCCTGGTAAAACTGAAATGATCTGCCAAATTATTTCAGACATGGAATCGCAGCCCCTTTTTGAGACAATAAGATTAGTTTCTAAGCAGCATAATCAGATGGTGGCTCTGATGCTAGATATTCCATATTGAAGCTTTGAGGTGAATCGATATTCTAGCCTAACCTCTTTTGATCCCTCTCTCTTCTTTTTAGCCAAATATACACAGCAGGGAACCAGAAACTGCAGGTCAACTTTTCTGAACCTCCCTGACCAGCGTTTCTCAACCTTGGCAACTTGAAGATGTCCGGACTTCAACTCCCAGAATTCCCCAGCCAGCACTGGCTGGCTGGGGTATTCTAGGAGTTGAAGTCCGGACATCTTTAAGTTGCCAAGGTTGAGAAACACTGTCCCTGACCCTGGATATACAATGGGTTACAATTCTGATCATCTGCACTAGCCTCTTAATGGGATTTAAGGAAATATGGAAAATATTGCAATGGGGCAAATGAAAAAAAATGAAGATAGATTAAATAATGCCACAGAGACCGTTCCGGAACCCTTTGTCCTCTGGTAGTGTCCGAGTACAGCTTCTGCTGTTTGTAGCGGACATGCAGGGCTAGCTGCCCATTTTTAAGACCTAACCTGGTCCTCCATGATCGTTGGAGCCTTAACACAAGATTTCTGCAATCCAACAGATCCTGTACAATCTACTTGTTTTCACACTTAACCTGGCATGTTATGTTGCACAATGTACACTTTTTTTTTAGATCTCACTTCTAAGTGAGGTTCAGGTTAGCAAAATAGAGGCAGCTCTGTTTATTATGCAGGTTAGCATCCATTCTTTTCCATGTTGTTTGCGTACTTCCTCATGAGAATAATTGAAAAAGCTTAAGAAAGCATTTCCCCCTGATTGCTGTTCACCTTAAACTTTTGTTTGTTTGTTTGCTTGTATAAAGCATGAATAATGGAACTGACTTGGAACCAACTAGGATTCAGCTGACCTCTTACAATCAGGTTACATGTTAGAATTTTGTATAAACGATATACGCCTGTGCTTTAATAATAGCCATATGCTTTGAGGAAGACAGATGTAAGCACATCATCTTTTCATATTTAGTTCCCAGTGCACGGTAGATTTATATGGGGGCATGAAAGGATTTGCCCTCCACCCGTCTACAAAAATCTCTGCCTAAAATTCATTTTTTTAAAAAAAATCTCCTTCTCCTGCTCACCTATTAACTTTAGGTGTTAATTCTCCCCAAGCAGAGAAAGAAAAAGTTAAAATGATAATACCCAAACTAGATCATGTACTCTGCATCAATAATTCCATTCTTTAATACAGTCTTGAAATCTGGTATTCTTTGGCAATGTTTATCTTCTTCTCCTATCACTCCTATCACTTGAGAGACCGCCTCCTGCCAATTACCCCCCTACGACCAATTAGTTCCCACAGATTAGGCCTCCTCCGGGTTCCATCAGCTA